ACTATTTTTGTTTGTGTTCAATACGTAGGTGCCTATACGGGTTGTTTATCTCGTTGGGTTGAAATTTTATGCAGTTGTTACTGACAATTTGAGGAAAGTTTCTGGTATGGTACCATTAAAATACATAACGATGTTGGCCCGAATACTCACCGAACTGTTACATGATTTAGCTTACATGCTGGAGAGTCTTTCAACTTTTATTTTAAAATAAGTATTTTTCGGCACCCGCCAGCTATATCTACGACTACATTTATTTCTAGATAGCTAAGATCTACTGACGCAACCACAAAAAATATCCTTTAAAAGTAGAGGTTCAAGAAACATTTAGACACGAGTTCTAACTATCTACAGTACAACGGTTGCCCCACCCTTCAAACCAGAACGCATTATTGTTTCACGGCAGAAATAGGCAGAGCGGTGTATCCCACTCGTGCAGGCTCACAAGAAGCCTTTCAACCCGCGACTTCTAAGTGCTAAAATTTATTATTAGGACTTCTTTTTAGACCTGCTCTAGATCTCCATGTGCAGACCATTATAAGTCCCATTAATATTGTTATTCAGCTTGGTTTAAACTACTTGGTTTAAACTGATTCTCGTAAAGTTCAATTAGACTGGGCATTTACGGAGACTAGCAACCGCTCACCATCTTGTAGTAAGCTAGTCCACTCCACGTTACAGAAAATAGGAACTTAGATATACACCGAATATCGAATGGCCCGTCAACAGGACAGTGTATAATAATAATAATTATTATTATTATTGGTGGCCCTTCCACAGGAAGCCATCAGGCCAATTAAACACGACTCATTAGTGCACCGAAATCATTGATTTTACAACGACCGCTGTAAATATCTTTTTTATATTTTACAATACCAAAATATCGGGTGTAGTCTTTGTTGGGAGCCGACGTGTGGAAGTGCTTAGAATTTATTATTAAATCGTTTCATATTTACTTAATTACTCCGACTGTCTTGAGCAGAGGCGCTTATGATAATATTTTGGTTGATTCATCATTGCACATGAATATGTTCCGGCCTATTCGACTAGAGTATCTCCGTATCTTCGACCTAGTAATAGTAAGTACCTCAACTATTCCATCTAATCCCTAACCCCGTCATTCTTATATAGGTATAGCACTGAACAGCCAATGGACAGAAGTTCGGAGTCGTCGTGGCCTAAATAATAAGATGCCCGATGCACTCGGATCGAGCGATGCTACTGTGTCAATGTTCGAATCCCACAAGCAGGCACCAATTTTTCTAAAGCAATACGTACCTACTTAACAAATTCTCACGAATGAATTGCACAATGAAAGAGTAGCTGCGTGTAATAAAAACGTTAATACTCAATTGAAACCTAATCTCTCAAGGTGGGTGGCGACATTGATATAGTGATGTCTATGGACTCCAGTATCCACTTCACACCAGATGGGCCGTGAGCTCGTTTACCCACGTAGAACAATAAACAAAAACAATGTTTTCAATCTCTCTAATATACCTACTTATCATAAGTAGCAGAGTACAGTTTGTTCAAGCTATGTCCTATAACTTCATAAACTTCAATAATACTGTGTAAAATAATAATTTGTGGAAAGTAAAGGTTTTAAAATGTTGTTTTTTTATTGTACAGAAAATGCAATTAATTATTTTATTATTGTTCAACCATTTTTAGAATATTCCATATTATTATTTGCTTCAGTAACGCGTTATTGATTCCTCATTACATTCTGTACTCTGGGGACTGGGTTCTTCGATACGCGGTCAGAATCAGAAATAGCACTTGGTAATTTGGTATACCTACCTATGTTTTTTTAATTTAATTATTGCTTAAATGAGTGGACGAGCTCACAGCCCACCTGGTGTTAAGTGGCTACTGGAGCTCATAGACATCTACAACGTAAATGCCGCCTATCACCTTGAGATATAAGTTAAGGTATCAGTATAGTTACAACGGCTGCCTCACCCTTCAAACCGAAACGCTTTACTGCTTCACGGCAGAAATAGGCAGGGCGATGGTACCTACCCGCGCGGACTTACAAGAGGTCCTACCACCAGTAAAATGCCATATTATTGTATGTAATGTTTTATTCCTCATAGCTTGTTATGGCTTGTAATTTGGAACTTGACCATAGTGCAAGTGAAATTCTTGTTGCGCTAATAACTAACTATATCTAGGACAGTGGTCTGGCACCGGTCACGTTCGATCATAAAGACCACTCGGTATCTCGGAAACTGTAATGTGTTTACCGACTACTGGCGGAATTTTGTTTTCAGATTCAGTGCAGCTTAGCTGTGACGCAGGTGATATGTAGAGGAATATCTTAACTTAGCTTAATGAAGCTTAGCTTAAGAAAATCTTAGCTTAATACGTTTACACGTCTTTATGGATCCATCAGATCCAATAACCGTTTCGCATTTAGCTCTAACACTAGGAGCTTAGAAACCCCGATAACCGTACCGGCAAAGAGTTCGACGTGCAACCTAACCTAAGCATGAGCCCGCCGAGTTTCTCGCCGGATCTTCTCAGCGAGTCACGATTCCGATCCGGTAGTAGACTCATTTGCAAAGCAATTACTCTTGAGTTGTTAGGTCTCCTTTGGAGGCGCTCAGGTAGCTGTTAGCATATCCCACCCTACCTGGCTGAGCCTTTGCTCGCCCACCTGTCCTGGTGAAACTGGAAAGGCCTCCGGGACACCAGTAATCCCTTAAATAAAAAAAATGCGTTCCATATGCACCCCACTTATGCAGGTTCGAGACTGCGCACTTTTAAGTACCGAGCGCATGCACTGTATTTTAACTGACATAAAGAAAATGGAGGGAGTTATCAATCCGACTCTATTGCTTTATGTGTGTCGTCTCTCAGAACTTTTTTCTACGTGAATCGATTTTGAGGCTTATTTTTTATTTGAAAGCTTATTAACAGGTGCTTCTCGTGTGTTCCCATTTGAATTTTATCATTATTATTTTTTAACTTATCCACAGTAATACATATTAAATTGACTTTAATTACATTGATGATGTCCTCGTTGTGTTTTGGTAAAGTCGGCTTTCATTTTTGTTTACATTTTGTAGGTATTCTGTGAGTCTACCATAGTGCAGGTATACACTCAAAAAAAAAAGTAGATTGTCTCTAATATTTTGATTGCGTTAAATGGATAGAGAAGCAATCGCATCGGCTAAGCGGGTGACAGAACCCAATGTGAATCTCGCTACCCATTTCAAGACAAGAGATCGAAGTTCCAATACGAAATTTCCATCGTTTCAAATCACAATTTGCGGAAGCACTAAGCAGGATGGTGGTGGTGGTGTGAGCTCACAATGCAGTCTGATTGTAAAGAAACTGATTGAGACGTACAGTGACATTGACACGACATGTTGCTTCACAATGATTTCCACTGGCCCACATAACCACATATGACAATTAATCTTAATAGTCATAGGTACATCAGTATCAATCCATATAAGGACATAGATTTTATTGCAGGTTAGTACGCGTATTGTGGGACCACACGGTCAGGTATCAGCATCCCGCGTGTTTCAGCCACGAAGCCGTCATACGGTTAGCATGAGAATAGAGTTTTGGGTCATACCCGATCCTGTGGACCGAATGGTAAACAGTCGACGTCGCCCTAAGCACGTCATTACGGATCCTCTCGATCCATTAACCGTTCTCACCGAACCCGTCGATTGCGACGACGGGCTTGACGAGTAAATTAACCCACAGACATAGCCCACTGAGTTTCTCGCCGGATCTTCTCAGTGGGTCACGTTTCCGATCCGGTGGTAGATTCTGCGAAGCACTGCTCTTGCTAGGGTCACTGCAACCCTCCGGTTTGAGCTCCGTGAGCTCACCTCACGTGAAGGAGAAGCTGAAATAGCCTCTCAAGGCTATCAGCACAGGTAGGAAGAAAAATAAAAAAAATTGCAACGCAACCGAGGCTTCAACTTCGAGTTTCAATAGCGGTATTCACAGTCACCACTTAATACCAAAGAAGCCGTAAGCTTGCCTCCCGTAAAGCGTACAATTAAAAACCCTATTCCTGCTAAGCATATACATACACTCACATCAGTCTTCGCAATAAATCAAACAACACAGAATTTCCTATAATTTTTGGCCCAATATTTTTTTTATAACTTTCATAGACAGCATGCTCCACACCTGATGGTCAATGGTTATCGTCGCTCATGGGCATCAGCATTGCAGTCAAGACGCTATCTACTCCTTTACACTTCCGTGCGTTTGAAGGAGGACGTAATTACATTTAATACACATTCAATACAAATCACGCCTTACCAATGCTAATTTGAAACTGTTTATAAAATCTATCTTTTTTTATTGCCTTTTTAGGCAGACAAGTGTACAGCTCATCCGATGGTAAGGAATCACCGTCGCTCATGAACGTTGACTTTTTCTCAGAGCTCCATCAAACTGGAGACTTCATATCATAGACTCATTTTAATTAACTCAACGCTTCTCCTACATTATAGAACTGAAACTCGATCAACTGCAAATATACCTACCTATCCATACAACAAGAAATGCTAATATTACGAACACTATTACTCAAAAATACGTCAAGAATTTTATTTTATTTTATTTATTTATTTTTTTTATTTACGTCTTTATTATATTTATACTAAATACAAAATTTAAAAATCACACTTATAAAACATCTACCTATTATGTACTTAGTAGGTAATCTTGTTAAGAACATTTCAAACCAATGAAACTGTTTTATTTAGAAAAATATATATTAAACACCTAAATTTTATCAAAAAACTAGGTAGGTATTCGTAATTCAAAAATTTCCTAATACTCCCTTCAGGGACATCAAACAACAAAATTACGCGAAGTGATTCAAATCAAAACATCTGTGCATCTAATAATGGCCGCCGAACAAACATGAAAACCAATAGATCTGTCGCAAGTTCAATGACATTCGAAATAACTTTTGAAAACTCAAACAGCGCCAACATAAGTTTTAATTTAATTTCATTTACCTCATAAAGTGACCGCTGGCACGTTGATGTAGCTCTAAATCCACTTCGCTGTTTTAGGTCCACGTTTCGAAGGAAACCGCTCCGTCGGCACTCAACACTGAAGATCTTTATACGAATTTTATATGAGACGATAACTTTAACATGTGTTTCATTGATCAACGCGGTTGTTTGTTTAGATTTGTTAAGTGAATTCGACGTTATCGCGTGCGAATGAACCGCGCGAGCTCCGTGCGTTCGGCTCCCGTTCGACACAATGGCGACAATTGACAATCGCGCAGCGCGACTGCGGTCACCGCACTACCGACAAATCGAGTGATAAAACCGAACGTTAGCACCAATAGGCGGCCGCCTCTACGCCCACGAGTGCATGCCGCGCTCTCCGATTGGCCAAGCAACTGCCATTGCCTTACGGATGTTATTATGCAGAACGAAACCAACAGTTCGAAATTCGAAATAAGAATTTAAACGTTGACTAGCCAGGCGTACAATGCAAATTGGTTGCGCGCGTTGTGAGCCGCGGTCTCTTTCTTTCCGTTGTCTTCGTTTTTTGTTTACGATGAGTTGCCGCACGAAACAAGAATATTTTCGTATGACAGCCTGCGGTCGATTCACCTGAGATTTTCAATGGCCACTTAGCATTATTTCTTTATAACGCTTGTTCGAGTAACGAACCAAAGAATGTTATGTTATTGTATGAATCTAAAAAATACTCAATCTGAATATATATTATATTTTTTACGTTTTGTAAGCGATATGATGTGGCTCGGCTATCTAAAGNACGAAACAAGAATATTTTCGTATGACAGCCTGCGGTCGATTCACCTGAGATTTTCAATGGCCACTTAGCATTATTTCTTTATAACGCTTGTTCGAGTAACGAACCAAAGAATGTTATGTTATTGTATGAATCTAAAAAATACTCAATCTGAATATATATTATATTTTTTACGTTTTGTAAGCGATATGATGTGGCTCGGTTATCTAAAGACGAAATAAAAATAATTGTAAGGTTTCCTTATAGATATAAAGTGCGCTTGGTATATTTGAGCGCTCTTTGAGTAGGTATTAATAGTTTTTATTAGACTAAGTAACCGACAAATAAAATGTATTTTTATTTAAGCGTGCAAATGTTAACTGTTTTTTTAGGATCATCAAATATTGTTAATATAGTTGAAGCACTGCTCTTACCACCTCATGTTTAGTATTAAAATTAAAATAAAAAAGGAATGTTTTTTTTTGTAGAGACCACTTAAATAGGATATGATTTTCTTTAATATCAATCGCTTCTTCTATTGCATTGATTTCCATTGAAGCTACCGGAGCTTGTAAACATCACAACATGAATTCCAATAACCATCTTGATACAAGGTAGAAATTTATTGTAAATTTGTACTGTTTGACGCCTCTTCCACTCTGTAGAAGGGAACACATGACTATTTCACGTCAGAAATAGACAGTATGTTAGTACCTAGCCTCGCGGACTAGAAATACGTCTTGCCACGACTAATTACAGATAAACTTTCAGGGTTTATTTTTTATTACACAACGTCATTACTACGTTGTCGAAGTACTTCGTGAACATCAGTTAAATATGTATTTCCATTTATTTTCTTTATTAATAAATAACAAATCAAAATAATTTAACATAAATCAATTCATACAGTAGAACAAATCTTCCAATGCGCTTGAAGGAGGCACAGTCCTCAAGATCCTGACTGCGTTACCTAGTTGGACAGCCAGACTCACTCTTAGTGCAAAGTATCAGCCAGCCTTAGCATCACAGGTAACCTCCTTTGGAGCGTTTGGAGATTTCTGATAAAAATTTCTTTGCTTCAGTCTATCGTCTCAAATATGTATTTCCTAAATAACAAATCTGCTGCCAAGTCATCATCATTACTGGCCTTGGACTGGTAAAGTAAAATCCCCCATTGCGTCAAAGTCGATTAGAGATTTCCTCTACCGACCTTTCATTCTTGTCATTCATTCATTCCTGTCGACATTTTAGACTAAAAATGGTTCTAAACGCATACTGAACGAACAAATCTAAAGCGCTAGGCTCGGCAGAATAAATATGCTACATATCAAATCGTATGCACTCTGTGTAAGTAAGAGTGAAGAATTATATCGTCACTTCCTAGAAGTTAGTGTGGGTTTTAGAGTAAATGTTTATTATATCTTATAGATCAGTTCCTTACACAACAAGCCTAGTTGAAATTATTGTTAATATTAAGTTAATTGATTTCATCATTCGTTTAAAATCTAATTGTGTGAATTTTATTTATTAAGTATTTTTAATTTTTATCAAAATTAATACTAGTCATTGGTATTGATGTATAGTGTACACAGCTTCGTATTCTCTAACCCTAGAATTAGTAAAATATCCAACTGAAATTAAAAACAAATACAAATTTTATATTTTCGGATGCATAGCAATAAGTGAAGGTAAATTTATTTGTCTCATAAATTATTGGATTTTATACGCAAGTACTTAAAAAAAAACTGGTTTAAGATCACAATACCTACAGTAGCTAAATATCTTTATCATTTTAAATTTACTATTCTTCATATTATATTAAAAAAGATATTGTTAGGCTCTTGATAATAACTTAAGGGCAAAAATCGATACCACAATCAATATCATAGATAATTTTCACATGAATAGATTTCATAACGGAAGCCAGATGAAAGAATAACATATCCGTTGTATCCCAAGGAACTTCTGTGACCGTTAAAAATATAATTTTATTCTTTGTGAAAAATTAACATACGTCCATCACACTAGATATGATCCAATAATAACAACAGTATAAGTTAAATGCTAATTCGTAACTGATATGTAAGACATCTCGATTGCTTGTAAAAATCGATTTTTTTTTTCTTGTCAAATATTCAAATTAGGAATTGTCGTGAAATCGACATGGCTACCGACAAATGCAACGCTTTTCGATACCGTGTTCATGAATATCGCACAATGAAGGCGTTCGATTATAATTGAATTGTAACGTTGTGTGAAATGTTGGCGACACGAGGGCAGTGGGTCGCGCCCTAAGGGCGTTCAGCGACAGACGCGCTCACAATGTGCGGTCTACAATACGACGTACGCAAATTAACTGCATACGTATACAAAAAAAAATTTATAGCCAATAAAATTCTTTTCATTGATTCGCGACGCACAGTACATGCGCCGCTGATAAAGATTTCTTTTAAACGCCTATAAATGATTTTTGCATATGACATTGGGGCCTGCCGGATGCCATAGTCATGCTGATTCCGTGACATGTGTAAAGCAGGTAGTTTCGTGAAGTTTTATAGCTGCGGCTTCTGTGATTCAAATTCGCTCGACGGATTCACGAACGGAAACTAACAGACCGTTACGAATCCGTTTATTATACAAGTGTTATAAATACTTTAATAACTGAAAGGTGAATGGTCCATTACGCTGATACGCGTTCGAATGTTAATGCTTTAAGCAAATAAATATGTAATGGCCTTTTTGTTGATAGCGTACGCTTAAATGATTAAGCACAAATGCGGTGCTAAAATTTTTGATTTGGATAGATGAGTTTAACGTATCGCGTTGAGTACCTACTGCTCCAATATTTGGATGAGGGCTTCCAAATATCAGTTATATTCATTTTACTGTACTTATACATGTTCATTTTACTATTAAGTACAAAATAACGTATTTCGGTTATTTAACTTCGGTTATCGCGGATAGTTTCATATATCTGGATCGATGAAGCGACTTTGGCCTTTTTGAGTGTTTACCGTATGTCTCATGGAGAATTGTTTGAGTAATCGTTTGAGTTCCATAATTTCCACTTTACTTTCATTTATCCACCTACCTAATTACAGTCTCTTTCACGGTCTGTGTTAGTGTTATTTCAGGCGCGTAACATTCGGGACACATTGCAAAATTACTCTTTATGGCGTTTCAGACCGCTATGACATGTCTTTCTTCAAACAAGCTTGCAATATAGATCTAAGTATGTAGTAGGCAGCAACTAGAACGATGCTCTTGCTAATGCCCATGAACATGGGTACCTATTTACCGTCAGGCGGGTTGTATGGTCTAAACTAATATGGCAAAAAAACCGTCTTAATACATAGCTACATATCAAGTAGGTACACCTTTGCCATATAGGAAATTAAATAATAAGCAATAATGAAATGAGCTGCCAACAAGAATATGTCAATAAATGTAAATAACATGTGACCTCACGTCAACACTTACGTAATATTAGTAATTACGTCTATTACAACGAAGTGACCTACATTTTTGAAACAAAATGGAGTAAGTCTATTATTGACAACTTATCTATCGTACACCTTAAAAAATACAATGTTCCCATTTTAATATACCTACGTATTCTAAAGCCAGATAATTTGATTTTGCAAATATTCACGAAATAATAGAAGTTTACTAAGCAAAACATTGTATTCATTAGTAAACTTACACAAAACGGTCATACAGAATTCAAACAAGTACCGTAATGTACAATGAAATTTTCTAATACAACAATTTCTATTTGGATCAATTTCACAGCTCATACAATAAACACAAAAAGCGATACAACATTGAACCATGACCGTGATTCTAAAAGTCCATTTCAATTCAATTTTATTAGCATACCGCCTTACATATGCTGCATATAATTGCATTACACACGTATCCACAGTGTCATATGGTAATACGATTGACGTTTGCAACCGTTTTGATAATTTGTCTCGCATTTCATAAAGCTTTGTAACACGCATTCGAAATCCGTTATCGATAAAAATGTTGATGCTAATTTTTTTTTTAATATGAATCGATTTTTTCCTGGTTCTATTGTTGCATTAAACGAGAGCTATATTTTTTGTATTTCGAATAGAAAGAAGACAATTTAAAATTCAAATTTTTTTTTCTTGATTGACAACTTTCTGTGGAATCGGTGATATTTTTTGACATCCATAAACATAGATTATACACTTAATATATTCCATAAAAGCAATCGTGTGCTACTGATTCCGATATGATTTATTGAGATTTAAATATGTACTTTTGTAACGAAATATCTACGATATAAGTGCATAAGAATAAGGAATAAAATTTAATATATTACCTATTAGGTAAATTTCACGTTGATCTTTTGTCAGAAAATAATAAGAGATTCGACAAAATTTAAGGCCAAGTTATTGTAATACTTAAATATTATAAGTTGAATGAATTGTAGTCGTGTAATCTTTGGTTTTTATTTTTAT